TGGGATGACTGTTCTGGTCCCCCCTGTTCTGGGATGACTGTTCTGGTCCCCCCTGTTCTGGGATGACTGTTCTGGTCCCCCCCATGCTGGGATGACTGTTCTGGTCCCTCCTGTTCTGGGATGACTGTTCTGGTCCCCCCTGTTCTGGGATGACTGTTCTGGTCCCCCCTGTTCTGGGATGACTGTTCTGGTCCCCCCTGTTCTGGGATGACTGTTCTGGTCCCCTCCATGCTGGGATGACTGTTCTGGTCCCCTCCATGCTGGGATGACTGTTCTGGGTGTCCCCCCCCTGTTCTGGGATGATTGTTCTGGTCCCCCCTGTGCTGGGATGACTGTTCTGGTCCCCCCTGTGCTGGGATGACTGTTCTGGTCCCCCCTGTGCTGGGATGATTGTTCTGGTGTCCCCCCCCTGTGCTGGGATGACCGTTCTGGTCCCCCCTGTGCTGGGATGACTGTTCTGGTCCCCCCCTGTGCTGGGATGATTGTTCTGGTCCACCCTGTTCTGGGATGACTGTTCTGGTCCCCCCCTGTGCTGGGATGATCATTCTGGTCCCCCCTGTTCTGGGATGACTGTTCTGGTCCCCCCTGTGCTGGGATGACCGTTCTGGTCCCCACCCCGTTCTGGGACTGCTGCCCTCTGCCAAAGGCCCTGCCAGGGACACTCAGCTGAGCCCCAGCTCTGCCCAGCCCAGCTGTGGCTTTGGGGATGCAGGAGAATGGCTGATTTTATTCCACCTGGTATCCCAGCAGTCCCGACTCCCTCTCGTCGGGCAGCTCCTCGGTGAAGCGTCTCTTTTGGCCCTGGGGGTGGGTTTGCACCTGGGGCTGAGCACCAGTTGGCAGGCTGGTTTTTACTGGGGCAGCAGGGAGGAAAGGAGCGCTCAGCGGGCTCTGGAGTGCACAAGGTGGAGACAAAAGACAGGGAAAAGGGGAGATCAGGCACAGAAATCATTCACTCAGTGGGGGTTCATGCAGAGGGGCAGAACACAACCAGTCTGTCTTTGGGAAATGCAAAAGGAGGTGAAAGAAAATCCACAGCTTAGAGATAAATCAAATATTTCATCTGCAGAATGGTCCCACCTCAAACTCATCCTCACCTGTGACTCAGACTCCTCCTCACCTGTAACTCAGACTCCTCCTAACCTGTAACTCAAACTCATCCTAACCTTTAACTCAGACTCCTCCTCACCTGTAACTCAAACTCATCCTAACCTGTAACTCAAACTCATCCTAA